TATGAACCCAGTGATGAAACTGAGCCCCAAGAACCGTTTGAGTTCAGGGACCGAGAGCTCTTTCCACGTGTTACTCCTGCTGTGGGGCAAAGGCTCTGTGTAATGGTACTTTCAGACCGGATCATGCGTTGCGTCGGCTTTCAATGCAAAGTCTGGTGATAAGCGTTCGAGCGTCACAACGCACGGACCTCTCGGCACGCACGGACGGACTGTTCAGTAGACAAGCATGGACTTGGCGGGAAAGTCAAAGGGGAGGAGCAGGAGCAAAAAATCAACGCCCACAGGAGATGGATTCTGCTCATCCTTTCCTTGGGACGTTTGTGCGACGTTCGTGCGACAACCAATCAGAGAGCAGCAAAGTGGTCACGGGACATTAGGACTGAGCGAGCAGACTGAAAATACTCGTAAACAGCCAAAACAGGACCCACAGCCACATCTCGGTGTGAAGTCCTCTGTGTCTGAAAACTAGAGAATGCGCGTCTGGTGAGCGGGGCTTCAGCGTTTCAGTGTTGGCGGTCTGAAAGCCCCATTAGTCTCCAAATACTGGTGTGCATAGAGGTTTGTCTGATCCACGATGTGTTGGAGCAGTTCCTCCGTCAGGAAGAGCTCCAGAAAGTCAGCTGGATCAGATGAATCCAGCTCCGCAGCAGGTCCCTGAGGTCCAGGTGCTCCTGTGAAGGGCAACTGACTCGGCTCCCACTCATTCTCCTGCCAGCCATCTTTCCCAGAGCCTCTGCGTGATGCACGGGCTGCAAAGTGGATTTATCCACTTTGCAGTAATTGTATTTATAAATACAATTACTATATTAAACAGTGAATTTGTTACAATAATAAATACATAAAATACAGTGAAGGCCATTCTCCCACATTATTGACTACTTTTGGACCAAAACAATAGTTTGAATGAATTATTGTTTTACATTCATTCATTCATGTATGAATGAACATTGCACAAAAACAAAATACATATAATAATAACATAACATGAACTAATAGTATAGTGTATACTATATTATATTATATTGCCATTGGATGTGCAAGAAGATAAATAGTAGTTCCTTTACCTTTTTTTGCACAGGAACTGCCTCGTGATGCACCACCTGTAAATAATAATGTCATAATAAATTTGTATCTCACTATACCAGGAGAATATACAAAAATATTATTCATAATGTTATGAGGAGGATTTCTTTACCTCTGCTCCTTGCCCTGTCAACCGCAATGGGGGAGGGCTCTCTACTTTTATCAGAACCTGTGAATGGAGAACACATTTCATTTAGTCAGAGCTATGACACTACAACAAGATGTACAATTAAAAAATAACAAAACATAAAAATTATAAATACAACAATGATAAAATGCATAACTGGATGTAATAAAGAAGCAGTAGGGATTTGAGCGTGGTGTTACTTTGAAGATCAAAGCCAGTTTCCGCGCCTTTCCCTCCTTTCAAGTTAGCAAAGACTTACCTTCAACTCTTTCTGGAGCTTCTAGAGGGGATGCTCTGCTGGATTGGAACGGCAACCACTCATCCAATGAGTCGGTATTAGGTTCGCTGAACGAATCAGTCATCAGACAAGGTAGCAGGTGATACGCTGTTAGAGGCGGCAGGTGTGTCCCTGCTCTTCCTCCGCGCAAATGTGGCTGCCGAGACGGACCTTCACCGGAGTCTCCACTCTCTCCCCTCTCGACCTCTCAAGCACTGTCAACTGCTTATAACTATTCTTTTTCGCCATCACTTTTGCTTTACTATCGCTAAACTATAGCTCTAATAATCTGTCTCAATGCTACGCTATCATTGCTCGCTCTTCTAAACTACCACGCTCTCCAAACATTCCCACGCTCTTCCTCCTCTCCACTGATTATTGTTGCAAGCAGACCATTGAAAAATTTTTTTTTGATAATATCCTATTCTGAATATTGATATTTTAGTTTTAATCGGGAGGGGGACACTCAATTCTAAGGGAGCGCTAAAAAATATTTCTTAAGTCTTCATTTCGGGCTTTTTTGGATTATTTTTGTAAGCAGACTATTAAATAAATTATTTAATATCCAATTCTGAATATTAATAATTTTAACCACTCAAAGCTGGAAACGTACTGCGGATCATAAAGAATGACTGTCGATTACTAGTCTCTCTTTTTTGGACACAATATTTATTAACTTGAAAATCTGGTTACACCATTTGACAAGGCTGCTTCGTAAAGACCATAACTCTTACGAAAGGGATTTTTGTCAAACAAAATGTATAGTATGCCTACATACGTAACTATATTTTATGTATGTAACCACATCATTAAAACACCAATATAAAACATGGCTGCGATACAGCCCCCGCCGCGCAGCAAATCCATTTTGTTTCACTCTGGAGGAGTCGCCGTGTAAACGAAAGGCCAATCCGATAGCCAACTGTAAACAGGGCCTAACTTCATAGTGTGAACAAACCTGAATATCAACAAAACAATATTCTCCCTTTTGTTCTGACCCTTGCTGTCACAGTGTGGTGCTGTTGCAATCAGACATTATTTAATCGCCAGAACACACCAACACACACTTGTATCCTGCCTGGCTCCGGTCACCAAAGCGCGCTCCCGTGTCCGTGGCGCACCCGCACACACATGCGTCCCAATGAGCCACTGCACTTTGGGGAAAAACACACATGGCTCTGATACAAATAACGTGATCCGTGCAGCAGCAGAATGTAAACAAGAAAAGAAACTGAAACATAACTCGAAACCCCCCCCACCTCGCTGAAGTTAGTATTAGCGCCACCAGCTGGACCCAGTGTTGTACTACGTGCTGGAAGAGGCTTTTGTTACAGACTTTCTCTGTTATAACAATAGTATTTAGAGTTATCATTAGTTTTAAAAATGTGATATTTCCTGTAAGTAATTAGGGATGTAAAAAACTATGCATTTTCATGACCGACCACCGAGCCTCATTAACCGGTTGAAACCGGTTAACCGCGTAGTTAAAAATATTCCACGTTCTTTGAAATAGCAGCCATTTCGAGCCGCGTACTTTTCATAAGTTTATCTATGCGTTCTACTAGATCAGAGCTGAGACAGCAGCGCCAAAACCCGCAACAGCTTCGGCACCTTTGTGCACAGAGAACTGCTTTTTTAATCTTCCCATTCTTCTGTGCTGCGGGTAAAGCATTTTTAAGCAAAAGACAGCTCGTCCACATGGTCAGGGCAGCGAGTGACGAGCCGCGTCTCGCAGGTCTCCGCTAAAGTTTAAAAGTGATGTGTGTGGATCTGATCTAATGACAAGGACCAGCAGCACAAACATGTTTCATGTGTTTGACTGAAGCCGCGTATTTGCGAGGATTCTTTGGGCTGCGAGACACAGAGGAGCGCGACAGCCCGGTATGTGTGTGTGTACAATACATGTGTGTATGTATGTGTGTATGTGTGTGTGTGTACAATACATGTATGTGTGTGTGTGTAAATATAAGCTCCAATGTAGTTCTGACCTGCACTAGTGTGGAACTTTGGCGGTAACAGAGGGGAGAGATGATGCGTGTGGATGTTACGTATGGAGGGGGGGAAAGTGTTTGTGTGTGTATGTGTGTGTGTGTGTGTGTGTGCGCGCGCGCGTGCGTGGCTGCGTGCATATGTGGAGCGTGCGCCATGAAAGTCGCCCGTAGTCTACTAATGCATTGGCGCACACAGCTAGATAGGGACCCGCTCGTCACATCGTGCAAATAGGGCTTAAAATAGCGTTATGAAGAGACCTCCCCTCTCCGCTTTTTCTTATTTTTAACCGACAGCTTTGACCGGTTAACGCTGTGACGGTCAACCACCGGTTAACCGGTCACCGATTTACATCCCTATAAGTAATGCATGTGTTTAATACGATTGATATATTTGCTATGGCCCTCAGGTCCCATGCAGGTGCATTTTATCACTGTAAGTTAAAGTAGTACTAGAATTTAATATGCTGCTATCCAGAATATATAACTACAATATGTGTTTATAATATTTCGGGTGTTCATTTTGACATGTTCAGATGCCATCCATCCATCCATTTTCTACCCTTTAATCCATTTCTGGGTCAGGGGGGTGGCAATCAGAGATGCCACCCAAGTCTCATAGCACCAGCCCCTCACTGACCCTCTGCAGGTGGTGAGTCCACAGGAGGATGGCTGCTCTCTGAGTGTGAGCATAGCCTTGATCTTTCAGTGGGAGCTTTTTGGGCAAAGTGGGGTTAAGTGTCTTGCCCAAGGACACAACGACAGCAGTCATCAGTGGGAGTCGGTGGAGAAGGTGCAGAGGTGGGAATTGAACCCACGACCTTCTGGGCTTAAGGCCAATGCTCTACCAACTGAGCTACTGTCGCCCCATGTTTTTTTTTTTACATAATTCATCTCTCATGTTCAGATGAATTATGTAAAAAAAAAACGGCTTTGAAGTGGCACCTTTTCACTTCCGCATAGAAACGCTAGGGGGCGCCAAAATGGCGGCGATGACGTAGAAGGACATCTCACAGCAGTCTTAGCTGGAAACTGTAGGAGGTTTCACTGTCATCTGAACAAGGTATAAACATATTTTCATCAGTTTTGTACATAACAGTGTGCAACTCTTTTAACCTTTTAGCCTTATTTGTGAGATTCAAGCTAATTAGTGTTGGGCAAGTTAGCTAACTCTACTTGATATTGTAACATACTGTTTAGGATTTTACATCAGGCAGTTAAGTGGCCACCCTTGGTTATGCTGTTTATGATTTGAATGTGAGAAATAAAGCGAGAGCCGGTACGGCTGCAGTTGGAAAAGCCTCTCTCGTGTGTGCTCTCAGAGCTAAATACATTTTTACAACACTACCTAGACCTTCTCGGTTACATTGGTGGCAGCGGTGGTTCTTTTTTTTTTTTTTTTTTTCGGCCCATCCAGAAATGTTTTTCTGTTGCTGAATCAGCGTTTATTTTGCAGTTAACAAGTTAGCTAGTTGTGTGAAGTTTAGCTAGGCAGTTGTGTGCTTAGCGTGAGTTACCTGTCAACATGTGGAATGGAGAAGAAAGTCCTTTCAAGCCAAAGTATGAGGCCGAGGAGCGTTTTCCCGTGAGGAACGTGAGAGTGGATCTGCCTCCGCTCTTTGCTGGAGATGATAGCCAAAGTTTTCTCGGCTGGGTGAGACAGCTGGAGGTGGCCATCCAGGCTACTGTGGGCACCGGTTCGGACTGTGATGAAGAACTTGTTCGTATCTTGCCCACTCGTTTATGCAAGTCAGCGTTTCTCCTGTGGGACAGCCTTCCGGATAGAGTGAAGCATGATTATTCTGCCGTGAAAGAGAAGCTCGCTGGCGCATTTGGACAGAGACAGTTTATGGACCGCTTCAGAGCCACCCTCTCGGCTCGTCCCCGTGGTGCGGGCGAGAGCTTGGAAGTCTACGCAGCGGATGTGAGTCGCCTGGTGGCGGAGGCTTTCCCGGACTATGGGGTCGTGGCGCGCAGAGAGAAGTTTCGGCGCTTCCTCGCAGGTCTGGATCCAGCGTTGAAGAGCAAGTGTTTGGAGCAAGGCGCCACTGATTTAGAAGAGGCGCTGACTATCGCGGAAAGATGCGAAAACGCTAGAGAGGCGCTACAGAGGGACTGTGTGAGTAACTATCCGTTCAATCCCCATGTTGCTGAGTCCAGAGCTGTGGTTCAGGCTGTTACGTCCAATGACAGTTTATATAAGGCTGTGGATCAATTAAGCCAGGAGATGCATGCTATGAGGATGGAAATGAAGAGTGTTTATGAAGAAAATCAGAGACTCAGGAACAGTGATATGGGCCAGAGGCAGTTCGTGGGGCGCCGGTCTGGTTTTGGGGGACGTTGTGAGTGCACCTGCGGTGAGCCTGGCTGTCAAGGAAGGTGGGCAATGCAGAGACGTCAGGGTCGCTCGCCCGAGCGCGGACCTGTTTCCCCCCCTAGTAATCTCGCTGCGCGCACCCCACAACGTACAGGCCAGTCTCCCGAGTTCCGTCCACCACGAAGCAGGAGTCCCAGCCCCGGATGGCGTGCCCGTCGTTAGGAAGGATCCTGGAGGCGTGGTGTTCATTTCCAGCAGCAGAGTTCTCCCAGGGATCCCGAGCATCAGGGAAACTTCCAGTAGCTGGTGTTATGGCCCAAACACCGGCTTTTCCTCGGGAGGGCCCAATGTTCACAGATGATGTAGATGTGGGGTTGGAAAAATACCCTACTGCCTACGTCCGGGGGGTCATTGAAGGGGTGGAAGCGTCAGTGTTGGTTGACTCTGGGGCTTCTGTGTCTTTAATTAGTTCCGATTTCCGTATGGCGGTTCCCACACTGCGCGGACGGCCATTGAAGAAGGACTTTATTGGCTCACGGGCAGTAAATGGACAGACACTAGACACACTGGGCACTGTAGACGTGTCTCTTCACTTGGGCCGGGCCTCTTGGCGGCACACTTTTCATGTGCTGAGGGAGTCTACTCAGGCGGTCCTATTGGGGTTGGACTTTCTGGCAGTGAACAGGGCGTTGCTCGACCTGGGGCGGGGGGTTTTGGAGATCGGTGATACGTGCCTCCCCTTGCTTTACCAGGCTCAGCTTGTCCCTGAGTGCTGCAATGTATTTCTGGCCGATGGTGTGATTATACCTCCCTTAAGTGAGGCTTTGGTGCCAGTTCATGTGCGTCCACCGGGTGGTGCTAACAGGCCAGTAACTGACTTTGAGGGCTACTTGGAACCAAATGTCCCTGATTCGGCTGGTTTAGTCGTAGCTCATACCGTGGCTAATGTGAAGAATGGGGTTACTGTTGCGCGTGTTCTCAATCCCTCTGGGAAAGCAGTGGAGCTCAAGCAAGGGCTGCACATAGGGGAATTTTATCCTATTCACGAGGTTGGTGCACCATCGGTGGTGCCCACTTCACATAAATCTTCTGTCCCGTGTATGGTCACAGACTCTCCAGTCAACGAGCGACAGAGGGCTGAATTACAGGAGCTTTTGAGTCGTTTTAGTAACGTGTTTAGTACCCCAGATGGGAACACTGGGAAGTGCTCTTTAATCCAACACCACATTCGCACTGGTGATAACCCCCCAATTAAGCAGCGGGCATATCGGACGTCTCCTGAGAAAAGGGCAGAGATTGAGCGTCAGGTGGGTCAGCTACTGGCAGATGGCCTGGTGGAGGAGAGCTTCAGTCCCTGGGCCTCACCAGTCGTGCTCGTCAAGAAAAAAGGGGGTCAGTGGAGGTTCTGTATCGATTACCGCCGTCTTAATGCGGTTACAATTAAAGATTCGCACCCGCTGCCGCGTATGGACGACAGCTTGGATGCGCTGGCCGGGTCAATGTGGTTCAGCACATTGGACTTTTCGAACGGATACTGGCAGGTGGAAGTTGCCGAGGAGGATCGTGAAAAGACCGCCTTCACGACCGGTAGGGGAATATACCAGTGGCGGGCCATGCCAATGGGCCTGTCCAATTCGCCTGCCACCTTCCAGCGTATGATGGAGCTAGTCCTGCGTGGTCTTCCCTGGCACACCTGCCTCGTATATCTGGACGACATTTTGATTTTCAGTCGAACATTTGAGGACCATCTTGGCCATTTGGGGGAGGTGCTGACAAGGATAGATTTGGCCGGACTGAGATTGAACAGCAGCAAATGTCATTTTGCAAAGGACCATGTAGTGTTTTTGGGACATGTGGTGTCTAGAGATGGTCTCCGCCCGGACCCTCGGAACACTGATAAAGTGAGGTCATGGCCGACACCGACCTCTGCTGCTGAGGTCCGTGCTTTTGTGGGCCTGTGCTCCTATTATAGACGTTTTGTGCAGAACTTTTCCCAGCATGCGGCTCCACTCAATCATCTGGCCAGTAAAAATGTCCCTTTTAAATGGACGTCAGAAAGTGAGGCAGCATTCACCTTTTTGAAACATCGTCTGACCTCCTCCCCTGTAGTGGTGTCACCAGACTTTTCTCGCCCCTTTTAAAGTTTACACCGATGCGTCAAAGGACGCTGTTGGGGCGGTACTGGCGCAGGAGAATGACGGTTTGGAACATGTAGTGGCCTACGCCAGTCAAGCCCTCACTCACACCCAGAAACGCTGGTCCACCTTTGACCGTGAACTGTGGGCGGTTGTCTGGGCTGTGCGCGAGTTTAAACATTATGTGGGGCTGTCAGCATTCACTATTGTTACTGACCATCGTCCTCTACTAGGCCTTCGTGGCATGTCCATTGACAATGACCCCTACTGGTAAACGGGGGCGGTGGATCCTGGAGTTGGATCCCTTTTAATTGGGCCATCATCCACAAGGACGGATCACGGCATTTGAATGCAGATGCGTTGTCCCGCCGCCCTGCTGAGGCCACAGCTCCTGCCATTGACTGTGTGAATGTGATTGATGTTGGGGGGGCGAATAGTCATGACCAGGCTAGGGAGTCGTTACCCTCCTCTCCAGTGTACTCTCTCTGCTGTGATGAGGCCAGGTTGCGGTCCCTGCAGCAGGATGACCCAGACATCAGGGTAGTGCTCGGGTGGTTAGAGAGGGGAGGAGGTAGGCCACCTTGTTGGGAAGTTAAGGGGTCTTCTCTCTGTCTCCGGAAATTGTGGGCTGAATTTGGTTGCTTCTCTATCAATGAGGGACTGCTGTCTAGGACAGATAGCCCCACAGTCTCCGGCCTGGAGCGGTTGCAGGTTGTCATCGCGTCCTCTCTGGTCCCTGATCTACTCCAGCATCTTCACGGGGGGCCGGCTACTGCGCACTTCTCTGTGGATCGGGTCTGGGAGAAGGCGAGGCAGTCTTGCTACTGGCCTTTTATGCTTAGAGACATAAGACAGTGGTGTGAGCAGTGTAGGGCTTGTCAGACTCGCAGGTCGCCTATTCCTAAGCCTAGGGCGCCCATGGGGGTTATGCAGGTGTGTCGTCCTCTGCAGCGTGTGGCGGCTGACATTTTAGAGCTACCTGTAACCTCTCGGGGAAATAGGTATGTTTTAGTTGTAGAGGACTACTTTACAAAGTATGTTGATCTGTATGCTTTGCCTAATCAGACAGCTAACACTGTTGCTACCTGTTTGTTTAATGACTATGTGTTGGTACATGGGGTTCCTGAGATGCTTCACACTGACCAGGGTCGCCAGTTTGAGGCTGAGGTCATCCAGACTCTGTGTAAACTACTGTGTATTAAGAAGACTCACACGACTGCGTACAACCCAAAGTCGGATGGCATGGTGGAGCGCCATAACAGGACATTGATTGACCAACTTGCTAAGATGTTACTGTCTCAAGGGGGTGAATGGGATGGATTTACAAAGCAGGTTGCTTTTGCGTATAACACTTCACCCCATGCTAGCACTAAGTTTTCTCCCTTTTATCTGATGCATGGCCGCGAGGCCCGGGTCCCAGCAGATGTTCTTGTATCTAACCCTGTGTTCAACTCTGTGGGGGCGGGATCTGTGTCTGACTATGGAGATATGTTAGTTAAAAGGTTGGAGTTTGCATTTGGTGCGACCAGGCTTCATGCATTGGAGGCCTCTGAGAGACAAAAACTTTACCATGACCAGACAGTGTGTCATCGGCCGTACGGTGTTGGAGCGTTGGTGTGGCTGAACAATCCAACGGAGAGCCGTACTAAATTAGCGCCGCATTGGAGGGGCCCGTACCAGGTGGTGCAGGTATTCTCGTCAGGGGGTGAACCAGCTCTGACCTATGACATCATTAATCCGCTGGATACTCAGAAGCGGAGTCAGGTGGTTCATCATGACAGACTCAAACCATACACTCTGCCGCTCCCTGCTCGGTCCCCTGCAAGTCGGGTTGTCGCATCGGACCCTTTCTTGCATGGAGGGGAGGCAAGTTTGGAGCCAGCGCTGGCCCAGCCGCAGCAGTCTCGGTCGGGACGTCTTGTTAAAGCCCCTTCACACCTCAAGGACTTTGTAGTTTGAGTTGGGCAGAGTCATTGTTCTTTGTGTGTTTTTTTTTTTTTTTTTTTTTTTTTGCTTTTGTTTATTATGGCCCTGGTTTGAGGCAGGTTATTTTATGAACCGAGGACGTTTCTTATGAAGGGGGGTGACATATGTAACATACTGTTTAGGATTTTACATCAGGCAGTTAAGTGGCCACCCTTGGTTATGCTGTTATGATTTCAATGTGAGAAATAAAGCGAGAGCCGGTACGGCTGCAGTTGGAAAAGCGTCTCTCGTGTGTGCTCTCAGAGCTAAATACATTTTTACAACACTACCTAGACCTTCTCGGTTACAATATCATAAAACATGCTAACAAGGCTAATATTCGTTTTTACATTATGCCAGACTCACTTTGGTTGCCTTAGATTTATTTACCACAATGTACATTGTAATATCCATAAATGCTAACACCTATTAACGGTTTAATTAGCATTTTTATCAATGATTGCATCACATGTAGTCTGTTTTCAACTTCAGCAGATTTTTGTTCATAAAAGTAATTTTGAGTAGCATTTTTGAATATTACAATGTACATTGTGGTAAATAGATCTAAGGTAACCAAAGTGAGACTGGCATAATGTAAAAAACGAATATTAGCCTTGTTAGCATGTTTTATGATATCAAGTAGAGTTAGCTAACTTGCCCAACACTAATTCGCTTGAATCTCATAAATAAGGCTAAAAGGTTAAAAGAGTTGCACACTATTAAGTACAAAACGGATGAAAATATGTTTATACCTTGTTCAGATGACAGTGAAACCTCCTACAGTTTCCAGCTAAAACTGCTGCTGCTGCTGTGACATGCCCTTCTCCTACGTCATCGCCGCCATTTTGGCTCCCCCTAGCGTTTTTTAAAAAGTGCCACTTCAAAGCCGTTTTTTTTAACGTAATTCATCTGAACATGTCAAAATAAACACCCAAAATATTATAAACACATATTGTAGTTATATATTCTGGATAGCAGCATATTAAATTCTAGTACTACTTTAAGTTATTAGAGTTTTAAGCTGCATTTTCACTGTTGACAATGGCAGCGCCATCTCGTTTACAAGCATGTTTTAAGGTTTATTTCCTCTTACACTTATGCTCCGTGGGGAAATTTGGATTAAACTGCATAAAGGAAAATCACTTTGTTTGTCAGTTGTAGTTTGTTTTTAAATAGAAAAAAATAATTGATTAAACTCGAAAATCGGATTTGGTGTGAAAATCTGAGATTTTTTTTTGCCATATTGCCCAGACCTACTGTGCACCATTCAGGATTGCTGTTTGGCTGCTTGAAGTTCCTTTAGGAAGATTTTCCCAAATTTTAGAAAAGAACCACCCTCTCCAGGGGGAAGGCCTACCATGCCTACTACTAAACATGTCTCTGTTTACAAGTCACTGTTGGCATTGCTCAGACAGCTCACTTTCTAAGAAGATTTGCACTTTTTCCACTATGTCAGACTATAGTAAAAGTAAGTAAGTAAAATGTATTTATATAGCGCCTTTCTCAGACCAGGGTCACAAAGCGCTTCACATTAAAAGCAAGATCAATACATACATATACTATATTAGCCTGGCCTTAGCCATCTGTAAACTCTGGTCAATTATTATTTCTCTACATGTAGAGATTTTTTCATTTTGATAAGGAAAAGTAAAAACAAAGTAAAAAATGATAAACAAAATATTGAATAATGCTTTCAGGCCGGTCCGTGTACTTTTGCGTTCAATACATATTCTATTTTTGAAGGGAAATGGAAAATCGAACAAAGGCTATATATGCCTATAAATATCCATCCATCCATCCATTTTCTTCCGCTTTATCCGTTGCCGGGTCGCGGGGGCAGCAGTCTAAGCAGAGACGCCCAGACTTCCCTATCCACACACACTTCCTCCAGCTCGTCCGGGGGGACCCCAAGGCGTTCCCAGGCCAGCTGAGAGACATAGTCCCTCCAGCGTGTCCTAGGTCCGGTGGGACGTGCCCGGAACACCTCCCCAGGGAGGCGTCCAGGAGGCATCCGGTACAGATGCCCGAGCCACCTCAACTGGTTCCTCTCGACGTGGAGAAGCAGCGGCTCTACTCCGAGCTCCTCCCGTGTGACCGAGCTCCTCCCGTGTGACCGAGCTCCTCACCCTATCTCTAAGGGAGCGCCCAGCCACTCTGCGGAGGAAGCTCATTTCGACCGCTTGTATCCGCGATCTCGTTCTTTCGGTCATTACCCACAGCTCATGACCATAGGTGAGGGAGGGAACGAAGATTGACCGGTAAATTGAGAGCTTTGCCTTTCGGCTCAGCTCCCTCTTTACCACAACGGTCCGATACAACGACCGCATCACTGCGCACGCTGCACCGATCCGCCTGTCAATCTCACGCTCCATTCTTCCCTCACTCGTGAACAAGACCCCGAGATACTTGAACTCCTCCACTTGAGGAAGGACCTCTCCACCCACCTGCAAGGGGCAAGGCACCTTTTTCCGGTCGAGCACCATGGCCTCGGATTTGGAGGTGCTGGTTCTCATCCCAGCCGCTTCACACTCGGCTGCAAACCGCCCCAGTGCATGTTGCAGGTCCTGGTTCGTTGGAGCCAACAGGACAACATCGTCCGCAAACAGCAGAGATGAAATCCTGTGGTCTCCGAACCGGACCCCCTCCGACCCCTGGCTGCGCCTAGATATTCTGTCCATAAATACAGTAAACAGAACCGGTGACAAAGGGCAGCCCTGTCGGAGGCCAACATTCACCGGGAACAGGTCTCGGTAAGTCTCCTCTGATAAACACAATGTTTTTGTGCTCGTTCTTTATGTTTCACTTCATAAATCTCTCATATTGTGCGTAGATCGTTCACACACGTCTGTAGTTTAAATCTCGAGTGTGTAGTGCGCTGTTTATGATTGTTTACCTCCGTGTCATATATTTGTTGCTGCTGCTGCTCGTAGATCTCTCTGTTTGGATCAATATTGTAAAGAAAACACTTTCTCTGCGTTGTCAAACAATCTGTATTCACTGTATTCTACTGTATACAGTAATGCAGTTTGTTTACGTCTGGTTGTAGTAGTATTTCCAGCGCTAGCTAATTATTATTAGCTAATTATTGTTGATGTGTGTACTATCTATATGTGCTCCTCTGAGGGAGGAGGTGGTGAGGGAGAACGCCCTCACTCTGGTGCGAGTGAGAGGAGGTGATGCCTCAGACAAGGCTGAAGTGCTGGGGGAGTACATCGCTCACAGCAGGCAGTAAGACCAGCACAGTGCCTGCTGTCACTCTAATGTCACTGCTGTCTGAGGAGGCCATAGAGAAGGTTGTGCAGCGGATCTTGGAAAAGCAGCAGCAGCCTCCAGCAAATAAACCCCACACAAAGAAATGCCTGTCTTGTGGCCAGCCAAAATCCAAATATGAGGGCGATGGCAGCTCCATCCACGAGTTTTACCAGCCGGGTCCTACCAGGTATTTCTATTACTCCACCAAGGTCTATAACACCTATCGCACAGAGGGTTTGACCAACTCCAGGATGCCATTCCGAGACTTTATGGACACTTGAGTTCTGCCAGAGAGAGCTGGAGGCCACGCAGCAGAGAGTGAATGAGTGGCAGGAGAAGAAAAGGAAGAGAGATGAGTCTCCTGCCACTGGGAGAAAGTGCGGGTTCTGCAAACTGCAGCTGAAGCAGGGACCAAACAGTCCTCACATTCATACACAATTCCCTGGTCTGTCAGGAAAATACATCTACTGCCCTGCCAAAGTATTCTCCCTGTACAAGGACCAGGGGATGGAGACGCAGATGTTCCAGCAGTCTCCTTTTTATGACCGGGAGAGGGAAAGGTGGCGTGTAAATAAATGAGCTATCTGCTGTCTATTGGTGCTATTGTATATAGTTACTACATTATACCTGTCTGTTCATAAATGTTTATAAATATTCTAATTATTATAATCAATATTAAGTATATATTTACATATCTAATTATATAATTTCATTTGTAAAGTCTGCATCTACAGTTCTGTATAGTCAGCTCTCAGCCGTCAGTCACAGGGCTCATCACACAAATACTAGTTTAAGAAGGTAAAGATGGCATGTTGTTGTTTTTCTTCTAAGTGTATTTCTTAAATTTGTAAATATCTCTTTTTTCATCTGTTCACAATAAATATATTATGTCATACATTATTGAAGTCTTTCTTTTTATTGATCATATTTCAGGGCAAACAGTAGTATTTGACAAAACAATCTGTATAGAAAATAGAGTTTCAGTTCAGTGCCAATCAACGATATGCCCACTATACGCGACTGGCCCCCGCGGCCTGACCTTGCCTAGCTTCCGAGATCAGACGAGATCGGGCATTCTCAAGGTGGTATGGCCGTAAGCACGGGGGTATGGAGCAGCGTGCCTCCTGACCCTGCTGCTGCGGTCCTCTCCTCCCCCAGAATGAGCGCTCAGGCCTGGGTCTGAGCGGGAGCAAAGCCCTCCCCGGTGATAGCCCAGAACCGGAGGAGTGCGTGGGTGAAAACCCCGTGTCTCTAGCACCCCTGGTTCGTTTTTGACAAGCCCTGGAAGCCGAGGTTCTCCTCCCCCAAAATGAGCGCTCTTGGGCGGATGGTAGACGCGCGGTCCCCCGGTGGTTTCCAAGGGCCATAACTTTCTGGTCCTTTATCCCCCGTGCGTCAAATTCACACCGCGGGTAGGACCAGGGGAGTCCCACCCCCGCGTCTGTAGCCCCCCTTCCGCGAGGTCTCTGCTCTCTTCCGGTGTCGCAAATAATAATAAAACGAAATAATAGTAATGCCATAATTCTTTTGAGAATTTTAAACAACTAGAGCCAAAACAAACACATTGATATTGAAGCATAAAGGATTTGATTTTCCAATTTGATTTAGAAAACGAAAAACCAATAAACGAATGGAAAATTTGTTTTTCTGATTTTATTTTGAAACGGAATAACTAATGATCGAAGGGTACACGGATTGTTTTTGACTGCACAACCTTCTCAATGGCCTCCTCAGACAGCGGT